CCCCCCCCCTTGTTGCCCCGATGATCATGGAAACGTCTATATGGCGCTTGTGGACAGCGCTTAGCCCGATGAGTGCCCCACGTGCCGAATGGCGCATTCGACATACTGTGCGTCACTGTACATGATGGCGGATAGTGGTATTTTCGGCATACTGTATGCTTCTGCGCAACGAGAACACAAGATACTGTACAAACGCTCTCGCTCATACACGGGCGATCTTGGCCCTCATGCCAAACTTCTGTACTGTACCTCTTAGGCGGCAACTTCGGATGACAGCAGTGGACGCCCACATACGGTATGCGCGAGCTGGACGCATTCTCCCACCACATTCATACGATCCACAAGCATATTCGGTTTTGCTTTCTGGAGCACAGACTTGTACAGTACAGAACGTGATATGTACGGATGTGCAGTGGCCTCATATCAAGGCGCAGAAGGTGGCACCAATCCACGCTTAAAGGAGATCCATCACTGTTACGCTTATTCTTATTACTTCCCAGACGAGGTCTTTAGCGTCGCGCGGTTGCTGTTGTAAACCCACTGTAGAGCCAAATTTTTAATGACCCTTGCAAACATGCCTGGCTTTGTTCGTTGAAGGTCCATCAGAGATATGCCAGCACTCAAATTTGAGCCTCCAATGCTCCCCTCGGCAGAAGTTGCCAGCGCCCAATGATTCGCAGTTTCACGTGGCCTCGGCAGCATGCCTATTCAGCCTCTCCCAGACGTATCTTAGGCCCTCACCTCTTCCCACTCCCCTTTCGTCGAATCGAGAATGTAACTGCTGCCATGAATTTAGACTTTTCAAAGTTCAGCTCTCTCCCCGCTGCTTTCTGTCAAGTTGTTTCATCCTTTGTGTACATCCGTAACCATAGGAAGAAGACGGCCTGGTAGTCGCTTACCGCATATGTTGCGATTCTCCGGGGTGAGCGAGACTTCGCTATCCAGAACCCCGCGCATCAAGTAGTTGGGGGATGCCTGCAGATTCTATGAATTTACAACACTGCAATTGACGGTAACCGCAGCTTCACAGGTTTCGGTTGAGACGGCACCTTTGAATGAGACAACTTTGAATTCCTGGGATTTAAGTGTGAGAGGAACTGAAACTGGCCCGCATTTGCTGTACACTTGTCTGCTCCATGTTTCCCTTTGAGATGCTCAAGATGCTTTCTACAGGGCAGACTGCCGAGAAAAATGGCGTGGTCGCGGGGCAGCGAATCTTCATCGACTGCAACACCAGAGTCATCAGTATAGTAGAACAGCGAGCAGACTCTCAAGATAGCTCCTGGTAAGGACGTTTACTTTGAGAAAGAGTTTTGAGTCGGATCAAGGAGATGCAATCTCTATGGTGTTCAAAGCTGCCAGATTACGCGTCGATACAGCAATGTAATATACACATGTAAGCATGCCCCGCATGATGTCATTTACATGTATTTACAGTGTAACACACTGTAAATACAATATTGAGCACTGCGCTTATCGTCAGTCAACTTGATAACTCCTCGCATTTTGCGCTCAAACTTTCCCAAATTGGAGGAGTTTGGGGTCCCTTTTCGTGAAGACAATCCAATGAGAACGTATTATTTTCGATAGGTTTCAAACACTTTCAGGCTTTTCAAGTCAACAGGACTGTGCCTGGCAGTGCCAGCCAGGATCGCGTTTTGGATCGCAGAGCATATCAACCCCTATTTACATTCATTTCAGGCCCACCCTTTTCCCCACTGCCAATATATCACCTCTCTCGTCTGCAACAGTTCACACTTCAACCTCGCCACTTCCTCGGCCCCTTCCGTCCACAGTCAACATCTCACAACTTATCGCAAGATGGACGCCGCAAAGAGCGTGAGCGAACCTCTCCACGGCTTTATGATTGATTCCGTGCGCCTTGTTCGTCGGTGCAACAAACCAGACAGGAAAGGTAGGTAATCACGAATCCCATCGCTCCCATCCCACTGCGCCGCCAATCGCAAACAACCCAATAACGTAATACTGACAGACAGACCTGGGGCAACGAATGTTCATCTTCAACATGCGAAATTCTAGAGTTTATCAAGATTTCCTCGGCCACCGCCATCGGCTTCGCCGTGATGGGTTTCATCGGCTTCTTCGTGCGATTGATTCATATTCCAGTCAACAGCATTCTACTAGGTAAGTCACGGAGAGTCGTGGATGCCATCTTTTGTTTCTACCGTTTCGCGCGAGCCCCATCCGTCGACACCATTTGCTAACAAGTGTTCTATCTCTTGCAAACTCTGCATCCCTTCCCATCCCGAAAGGTTAACTATGCTGTCAAATCGACGGACAGAAGTGGTCGTTCCGGTTTTTTTCCGAGAATGCATTTAATTCTTCTAGCGAGCCACATCGTGGCACCTCTACTTGTCTTCCGCGCAGGCAAGCTAAAGCACAAATTTACGGCAGCCTTTCATGCGGAACTGTATTCAATTAAACGGATTTATCATGTCATCATCATGCGCGGTAGGGTTACCCTTCAAAGCGGACGCACGTGAATGCACAGGCCGGCAAAACTACAAGCCCATATCGAGCTGCGCGTCCTGCACGATGTGGGCGAAGTTTTGCAACTCGGTATTCTGGGCAGCCCCAGCACGGGCAGCTACGTTGCTTGCGACATCGGTGAAAAGGCTCATCACGTCTCGGAACGTCAACCGCCTTCGTCCCATCGTCTTCAACCCTTCCACACCTAGTGCTCCATTGATGAGCTCTCGCTTCCTCTCCTGAAGCGCTAAAATTTTATCCTCGACAGAATTATGGATCTTGAATCGGACAACGTCCACGTCTTTTCGTTGACCGATACGATGGGCGCGATCGATTGCCTTCGTCCATCGACAATTCATGGTAACACACAAAACAAATGAATAACAAACAGTTAGATACTGTCATGCACATAATCAACGGCCACCAATATCTACACATCGCACGCAGTCGCTTCTTACGCACCTGTTCTTCAACTGTTGGATTCCACCACGAATCCAACAAAAATACTCGGTTCGCAGCTGTGAGATTAAGCCCGGTCGACCCAGCCTGCATGGAGATCAGAAATAGTCGACACTTGTCCTTTGTGTTAAATGTGTTAATCGCCGCACTTCGCTGGTGCGGTGACATGGTTCCATCTAGGCGCACGTACTCGTGGCCTCGCTGAAGGACTTCATCCTCCACAAGATCTAACATTCTCGTCCACTGAGAATAGCACAAAACCTTGTCTTCTGTGGCATTGAGAATAGTGTCATATTCAGATAGAAACGCCATAATCTTAGTTGAAGACAAGGGTTGCTTTTCCCCGTCTTCGAGCGCATCTTCGCTATTGCCTTCTTCCATGACGTCCTCGAATTTTAGCTCCTTTTTCGCAGAACTCTCGTTGCCGAAGTCGACGGCGACGGCGTTTTTCTCGCCTTTGCATCGCCGCTTGGTTGGCGACTCGTCAAAAGAGTCTCCAGGATTTCGCTTGCCACCAATTGTGATCTCGAGTTTTGCCGGCTTGGTCTCTGCTTTAACTGGGGCACCCACCTCTACGGCCTCCAGCTTCCTTTTCATTCGATCTAAAGCGTGGACCTCTTTCCGGACCTCAGCCAGGGACATTATCTCATTCTCTGCGCCCAGACCCGCGCGGCAACTAGGGCAGCTATCATTGTTACGGTTCCACTGATCAAAATCCGGTGTGCAAAACACGTGCCCACACTTGGTGACAACTCCGTTTTCAGTGATAAACTCTATGCAAATTGGACACGTTTGCTGCACCTCCGTCCCAGGACTCAACTCTACGCCGAGTCTTTCTTGAATGTCAGGCGGAAGCGCCTTGAACAGAGAGCTGGTCATCATCCTCCTGTCGACTGCATCCAATTCTTCTTCAGAAAAGTTAAAATTCCTATCTCCACCCCAATCACACAAATCTGGATGCCCACATGCTTGCCGCAGACGCAGGAGAATGGTTAGGGCAGTCGTAAATCCCTCTCGGATGCCAAATCTCGCCATAGCTTCGACGGCTCGGTCCTCTTGGGCCTGGTAGTAGTCACGCTCTATCTTGCTGAACTCGAGTTCCCGCAGGGTGACGATTCTCTTTGGTAGTTCGATGACTGGCTTTCCATCAATCTTGTCACTCTTCGCTCTCCGCAGTAGCACAACCCCGAGCGTTGCCTGGAAGCGTTTAAAGAGCGCCTCTCTGGAACCCCTCGAAGACTCAAGCGGCCTTTTATACTTCCGTCGCCACTCGGAATAGTCCGCAACCAGAAAGTATCGAATAAACAAAAACTGAGAATAGATGTCGTCGACGGTGTTCTGAATCGGGGTACCACTCAAAGACCAGCGTCGATCAGCCTGGAGCAGCGTGCACGCGCTAAAAGTATCGCCCCGGTGATTCTTGATAGCCTGAGCCTCGTCCAGAATGACACGGAACCATTTGAGCCTGTACAGCGGCCCCTTCTTCCGTCTGCGGATAGGCACCCTATCCTTATCGCGCTCCAGCACCTTTGGATACTCCTGCCTCGCCATGCCGTACGAAGTGACGATAACATCGTACTTGACCAGGACGTAGGGATCCTTCGGCCTCTTCGCGCCATGATACACGAGGACGCGCGGCTTGTACGGAGCGTCGATGCGGGCGTCGAGCTCGGAGGCCCACTGGTGCATGATGGAGGTCGGGCAGATGACGAGGTTCCCCCATGCCGGGGGGCGGGTGGCGCCGTCCCTCATCGGGGGCTGGTTGGTGATCATGAGCGAGATGACGGACAGGGTCTTGCCGAAGCCCTGGTCATCGGCGAGGATGCCGCCGCGCGGGTGCCCCGCGGGCTTGTCGTGTGCGTCGCTCTCGCGGTCCTGCATCCAGGCGAGGGCCTGGCGCTGGTGCTTGAGCAGGACGACGTTCATCTCGGGCGGGGTGGGCAGCTCCTTGGTGGCGTCGCTGCTGAGGCTGTTGAGCTTGACGAGCTCGAGGACCTCGGCATTGGACACGCCGCCCGGCGGGGCCGCAGCGGGGCGCCGCGCGTCCAGCGACGGGTTGACGTACTGCTGCGGGCCGTCGTCCAGCAGGTCGGGATCGACGGAGTCGCGATCGGG